ATGGTCTAAATACTTCAGATATTAGACAGGCATTTTCAGGCTGGATAACAATTAAAATCCAGCAATATGCACTACATGAAAGTGGAAAGAAATAAATGATTTAACAAGTTACTAGTTAAAGGAAGGAAATAGAAGGAAAGTTGGTTTAACCGTATTAGTACCAGATATCACAGGGCTTAATGTGAAAAGAATTGTTAGAGTCAACTAAGTCTCTGTCATGAAGTCATTCTAAGTGTGTGTTGGTTCAAATACACAGCCTCAAAATTGATGTAGCAAAAATTGATAGAACTACTCAAACGATGTGGATGGTCTGAATTGAAATGGGCTGTTTATGGAATGGAACCACCACTTGATCCAGTTATCCCACTCCTTGGCATATACCCAAAGGACTTAAAATCAGCATAATACAGTGATACAGGCACATCAATGTTTATAGCAGCTCGATTCACAGTAGCTAAGCTCTGGAACCAATTGAGGCACCCTTCAACAGATAAATGGATAAGGAAAATGTGGTATATATACACACAATGGAATATTACTCACCCTTAATGAAGAATGAAATTATGACATTTGCAGATAAATGGGTGGAGCTAGAGAATATCACGCTAAGCAAAATACGCCAATCCCCCCAAACCAAAGGCCAAATGTGTTCTCTGATATGCAGATGTTAACACACAACAAGGGAGGGTAGGGAGGGGAAGTACAGAAGTTCATTGGATTAGACTAAGGGGAGTAAAGGGAAGGGTGGGGGACTGGGAGTAGGAAAGACAGCAGAATGAATGGGGCATAAGTTTCCTACGTTCATATGTAAACACACAACCAGTGAAACTCCACATCATGTTCAACCACCAGATGGGATCCGAATTGGAACGGGTTGCACTCCATGTATGTGTAATATGTCAAAATACACCCTACTGTCATGCTCATCTAAAAACAACAAATTAAAAAGAAATGTGCTGTTTATGTAAAATGCTCTGCAGACAGGGAGTCAAAAATAACGTAAAATATCTTATCTTAGACAACTTCACCACTAAAATGTTTTTTTTTTTTTAAAGCACGTCTTTAGCAATGAATGACTCAGGAAGACAAAACGTTAACAGGGAAGTAACCGAAGAGCCCCATGAACAAGCTCCATCTCCCGGCCACATACACGGAGAGCTGCTGAACCCCGTGATATGCATTAGAAGGTGCTGGGGAGCTGGGGAATGTAGATGGAGCAGCTACGGAAAACACCACATACCTCCTCCAACAATTAAAGCCACCCCCGTAGGATCCAATGATTCTCAGATACCCCCAGCAGGACCGAACAGGTGTTCACACCTGTGGTCTTGGCAGTCTTACAGCATCACCCTGTCTATGGATGGATAAATGGATAGAAATGGGCTATATTCACACAATGGGACAGTGCCCAGCTTTTAAAAGGAGGGCAGTTCTAGCTGGGTGGGGTGGCATATGCCTGTAGTCCCAGCTTCTTGGGAGGCCAAGGCAGGAGGATGGGTTGAGGCGCAGCGTTTGAGGCCAGCCTGGGCAACATAGTGAGGTCCTCCATCTCTAAAAGAAAACCCCAAACCAAAACAGGACCAAAATCACTCTCATTCTGCAGAGTGAAATAAACCAGTCTCAAAGGGACAAATCCTGGTGATTCCATTCACGGGAGGCCCCTGGAGTCCCAGATCCATAGAGACAGAAAACGGAAGGGTGGGTGCTGGGGCTGGCGGGAGGGCTTGCAGGGTGTGGGACGGTTTCTGTACAGGGTGGGAGAAAGTCTGGAGATGGGCGCCCAACAGTGTGGAAACGTGTAACACCAGAGAACAGGGCACTCAACGATGGTTAAAATGGGAAATTTTATGTTAAAACTACATTACATAATTCAAAATACCTAATTTAGAATTGCTTAGGGAATATTTACAAAGCTTGACCCCCGCACTGGGCCGTAAGTCACACCACTACCAGAGGGATCCGTACTAGACTACGGTCCCTATGAGATCAAAGGAGGAATCCAAATGTGACGAGGAAATAAGTAGAAACTTCATCTAAACAAACAGAGACATTCAGGGACTCGCACTCCTTCACTCTTCCAAAGCGGGCTCTGCCAGTGATTCTCCAGAAGCCTACGGTCTCAGAGAGGGCAGCACTGCTGACCCCTCCTGCTCTGGGCCTCAGTCTCTTGGACTGCGCAGCTGCCCGTTCTTCCAGCTGTCCAGCCTGCAGACGGCCGCTGCGGACTCTCCAGCTACTGGTCACAGAAGCCAACCTAAAAGGCCCCTTTTATAACTTGTACTTTGGTTGGTTGATTTTGCTCCTCTAGAGAACCCTGACTAACACAGGGTATGGAAAGCTCAGAACTTTCAACGTGGAAAAGAAAAAGGAAGAAAATGCTCATTAACAAACAGCCCAGGGAACAGTGTTCAGAGAGACATTAAGGAAGTCCCCCATCGAAGGGAGTTGCACTGCGTTTCGCCATGTTGTCAAAATACCAGAGCTGTCCAATCTGCTCTGTGGACCCAGTGGGACCCACCAAGGTTTCCTCTGAGCTGGACGAGCAGAGCAGAGGGCCGTGACAGTCCTGAGGACGAGGAACAGGAAGGGCTGTGTGTTCTAGGACGTGTGGTGTCCCCTGCGTTCATGATGACAGAGTGCTTCTGGCACAGGGTGGACACACTGGCCAAGGCCACAGGACATGTCTGCCTAGCTTCCTCTTGGGGAACGAAGGATGATCTCGGGGACATCCTTGTCATCGGGATGATAGTAACACAACAACCCGCTGCCTCCCCTCAGTTAGATGGAAATCGGGAAGACATATGGTAGCTCCCTTTTTGGCTTTGAGTTGTACAGATTCCAACTTAAAGTTGAGGTGCATCCTTCAAGGGTTGGCTAAAATGTGAGTTACTCATTATCTTTAGCCTCAAATCGATGGCTGTTAAGAGTTCTATTTAACACATATGCATATTCCTCCATTCATTGCCTGTCCCCCCATCTGCATGGCCATCTACCCACCACAAAAGCATCCATTCCCTCCCAACCGCACGCTCATTCATTCATTCACTCATCCATCTGTCTGTCCATCCATCCATCCATCTGTCCATCCATCCACCTACTCAATTACTCAGGCAGCCTCCCACCCTCCCATTTGTTAATCTATCCTCCACCCCCCTATCTATGCACCCACCCAACCCCTCCTCCACTCTAACCCTCCCCCCATTCTATACATCCATTCAAATGCTCATCCATCTGTCCTGCCTGTATGGTTTTGGAAAAGGGATTGGAAGGAACTTTCCACTACCTCCTGGTGCATAACAAATGACCTCAAAATTTAGTGACATAAAGCAAAGACAGCTTTATTTGCCCCCGGATCTGCCAGTGGCCTACAGGGCTTGGTAGGATGGTCAGCTTCCCCTCCATGAGTTGGGGCACTCGTCTGGGACTGGCAGAACTTTCACCCTCGTTCTCATGACTTTCACCCTCTAGGGCCTTTCTGTCCACCCGTCCTCTCCCAGTGGATGACCAGACTTCTTAACTTGGTCACTCAGGGCTCCAAGAAGGCAAAAGCAGAAGCTGATAGACCTCCTAAGACTCTAGAATCCACGAAACAGCCCCTCTGCCTCATTCGACCGGTCAAGGTCATGGTGCTTTCATTCCGCATGTGCTCTTGGAGAACCTCCTGCGTGTTGTCACTGTTCTGGGTTTTGGTCATGAGGGGGACCCTGCTTCCTTGCGCTCACGGCTTGTGGTGACTAGAGATTCCGTTCACTCCCATGTCAGGAGGGCCTGAGGTTTTGCTTTCTCTCAGGCGACTTTGCTCCCCACCTGTGTTAGTCAACTTTCCATTACTGAGCAAACCACCTGAGATATCAAGAGAGGAAAGGTTTGTTGTGCCTTGTGGTTTTGGAGATTTCGGTACCTGGCTGGTCGGTGACTTGCTTTGAGCCTGTTTTGAGTCAGTAAATCAGGGGGAGCACGTGGTAGAGGAAGCTGCTCATAAGCATTCACCTGTTTAGAGATGGGGTTCATTTCATGGGAGCCAGGAAGTGAGGAAGGGGTCAGGAGCCCCAGGGACTCAGCACCCTTTCACTGGGCCCCACCTCCCTACCTCCTAACAGCACCATGGATTGGGGACACCATGCAGGACTCTGTGGGGAACACTCAACCAAAGCAGAGCAGCACCCATATAGAGTGTTCCTAGAACTGCTTTATCATAATGGCCTTTTATGGTTTGGGTATGGTCTGAATGTGTCCCCTACACTGTCATGTACCGGAAGCAGAATGCCCAGTGTGGCAATGTTGAGGTGGTGGAACCTGTAAGCAGTGGCACCTCATGGAAGGCTATCAGGTCACAGAGGGCACTGCCCTAAGACAAATCCTGGGCTTTGGGAGTGAGGTAGTTCCAGTGAGAATGCGTTGTCATAAGTGACATTAAGGAACTGAGTAGACACTTCACAGAACTAGAAATACAACTGATCAACAAATACATGAAAAAGTGTTCAGCATCTCTAGCAATTAGAGAAAGGCAAATAAAAACTACTGTAAGATTTCATCTCCCTCCTGTCAGAATGGCAATCATCAAGAATACAGGCCACGGGGGTCAAGATGGTGGGCCAGAGGGAGGCAGCATTCTGTGTGGCTCCAGGACCCAGATCTCACCTTGTCGGAATACTGCATCTCTGAGAGTGGTAGAGGACCCCTGTCCAGCTGCTCTCCGCAGAAATCACCAGTGCTGTAACCCTGCGCAGGGCCCCGGGCCTCAGGGTTCAACCAGGATGCCCGGTGTTCAAGCAGGACCCAAAGCCCGAAGTTCTAGCCCACACAAGGCTGGGCGAGCACCAGAGCAGAACCACCTATCAGCACATCTGCAGATGGCCAAGACCTCGCTGGGCTCCCACGCAGGTCACTCAGCTGCTTCCTACCCACAGCACAACGCCATCCCAGGCGCCCCCACCCCCCCCGGCCCCCCCCCCCCCCCCAGGCCCCCCCCACCTCCCCAGGCTCCCCCACCTCCCCAGACACCCCGGTGCTGAAAGCAGGCCGCTGCCATCTTGGCTCCACATTCTCGCCATTCAGCTGGGGGCAGTTCCCAGATCAGATCTCCAGCGGCCAGGTACCAGGCTTCCAACCTTCCCCCCTCCCCAGCAGCGGTGACCCAACACAATAGCTGCCCAACACAGGTGTGCAGTGCGACCAAGGAGCCACCCACGCCACCCACGGGAGCCCTGGGTGAGAGGTTCCTCAATTGGGAACTGCCAGGGGAGAGGGAGATGGGGCTGAAGTCTGCAGCTGGAAAACCTCCAGGTAAGAGAGGTGATAGTACCGGGCACTCAAGTCATACCAGCGGTCCCAAAAAGAGACCCGTGAGGTCAGTCTCCCTGCAGGGCTGACGGTGCCACTCCCCGGACCAGTCTTCCCACCCGGGTATCTCCACCATCCCGAGGGCAGAGACACAGCTTACAGCAGACGACGCCACCTGCTGGAGGAGAAGAGAAGCAGGACAGACACGGAGCTCTACAGCTAGCTGCAACCCTGGCTTCTCCCCCTCTGTCCTCCGGCCCTCACACCCCAACATATGTGAAGCCAAGAACTTTGCATGAAACACGGCTTTGAGGACTGAGTCATCTGAATAGTATAATATAGAGGTGTTGTATATGCCCTTTTTTTCTTTTCCTTTTTCTTCTTTCATTTTTCTTTCCCCTCCAAATTTTACTGTTTTAACATCCTCTATTTTTCTAAATACATAGGTGTGCTTGTTTTATGTGCTCTACTGTCGTCCCACATACGTGCCTACCCTAAATGACTTCCTGTCTCTTCTCTTCCTACTAACCCTCTTCACTAGGTTTCCCTTTCACACTTCCTAAGATATATTAACTCTGTATCCTCACATCCTACCTCCTCCGCACACCGTCCTAGGCCCCACCCCCAGTTCATTGTCCACCATCGGAATCTGTAAACCTTTTTACAAAACCACTGATTATGTTTTAGATAATGATTGAATCCAACATTTCTGTACATTGGGACTAAGCTGTAAACGTCTTAATAATAACCAATTGTCATAAGTGGTATATTGTCGATATTGGGATCTGTTAACATTGTCCTTCCCCACAAAGGAGAGGTCTTGGAATCCTTCAAGAGCACTACAAACCTATAGGGTAAAAACAATAACACCCCAGACCCACAGAGCTGGAAAGGAAGACCCACCCATGAAAAGACAAGGGAAGAAAGTGCCCCAAACAAATGAGACACTACATCATTAGGATCATTGGCAGCCAGGAGGAATGACAGAGAAGGAGTTCAGGATGTACATGGTTAAAATGTTCTGGGAACTCAAGGAAGATATAAGAGAGCAAATACAGGCAGTGAAAGGTCACTTCATCAAGGAGCTACATAAACAATAACAGGAAGCAAAAGATCACCTCAACAGGGAGATAGAGGTGCTAAAAAAACAAACAAACAAACAAACAGAAATCCTTGAAATGAAAGAAACAATAAACCAAATTAAAAGCTTAAAGGAAAGCACCACCAACAGAGTAGACCACTTGGAAGGCAGGACATCAGACAATGAAGACAAAATATATAATCTTGAGAAGAACATAGACCACTCAGTGATAAAGGTAAGAAACCATGAGCAGAACATTCAAGAAATATGGGATAGCATTAAAGACCACATTGAAGAGTTATCAGGATAGAGGAAGACATAGAGGTCCAAACCAAAGGAATGAGCAATCTACTCAATGAAATAATATAAGAAAACCTTCCAAACAGGAAGAATGAATTGTAAATACAAATTCAAAAAGACCACAGGGCGCTGAATGTACAAAATCACAACAGATCCACACCAATGCACAATATAATAAAAATGCCCAACATATAGAATAAGTAAAGAAGTTTAAAAGCCATGAGAGAAAGGAATCAGATTACTTATAGGGGAAAACCAATTAGGATAATGGCAGGTTTTTCAACACAGACGCTGAAAGCTAGAAGATCCTGGAACAACACATATCAAGATCTGAAAGAAAATGGGTTCCAACCAAGAATCTCGTATCCAGCAAAATTAAGCTTTAGATTTGAAGATGAAATAAAAACCTTCCATGATAAACAAAAGTTAAAAGAATTTATAGCTAGAAAACCAGCACTACAAAACATCCTTGGAAAAATATTGCATGAAAACACCAATGAAAATCAGCAGAGGGAGGTAGTCCCTTAAAGGAAAAAGCTAATCAAAGAAGAAAATCAAGAAAAGTTAAATAACAAACATAAACAAATATGTCTGGAAATACAAACCATGTCTCAATAGTAACCCTGAATGTTAATGGCTTAAACTCACCAATCAAAAGACATAGGCTAGCAGATTGGATTAAAAAAGACCCAACAATATGCTGCCTCCAGGAGACTCATCTGATAGGAAGAGACATACACAGACTGAAGGTGAAAGGTTGGGAAAAATCATACCACTCACATGGACTGTGGAAGCAAGCAGGGGTTTCCATCCTCATATCAAATAAAGTAGACTTCAAGCCAAAGTTAATCAAAAGGGACAAAGATGGACATTAGGTACTTCTCAAGGGAAACATACACCAACAAGACATAACAATCATAAACATATATGCCCCAAACAATGTTGCACCTGTGTTCATCAAACAAATTCTTCTCAAGTTCAAGAGCCAAACTGACCACAACACAATAATCTTGGGTGACTTTAACACACCTCTCTCACCACTGGACAGATCTTCCAAACGAAAATTGAATAATGGAACTCAATAAAACAATCAATAACTTAGACTTAACTGACATATATAGAATATTTCAACCTGCATAAAGCAGATACACTTTCTTCTCAGCAGCACATGGATCCTTCTCTTAAAAAAACCCATATACTATGCCACTAAGCAACTCTTAACAAATACAAAAAAGTAGAGATACTACCATGCATTTTATCAGATCATAATGGAATGAAATTGGAAATCAATGACAAAATAAAAATAAAAATTACTGCAACACCTGAAGACTAAACAATATGCTATTGAATGAACAATGGGTTGCAGAAGACATCAAGGAGGAGATTAAAAAATTCTTAGAGGTAAATGAGAACAGAGACAAAATATATTGAAATCTCTGGGACACTATGAAGACAGTACTAAGTTCATTGAATGGAGTTTATTCCTTAAAAGAAGAAAAAGTCAACAAATAAATGACTTCACATTACATCTCAAAGCCCTAGCAAAAAAGAACAAATCAACAGCAAAAGCAGTAGAAGGCAAGAAATAATCAAAATTAGAGCTGAAATCCATGAAATCGAAACAAAAGAAACAGTTGAAAATTTGACAACAAAAAAGTTGGTTCTTTGAAAAAGTAAATAAAATTGACAGACCCTTAGCTATGCTAACAAACAGAAAGAGAGAGAGAACTCAAATTACCATACATGATGAAAAAGGTAATATCGGGGCTAGGGATGTGGCTCAAGCGGTAGTGCGCTCGCCTGGCATGCGTGCGGCCCGGGTTCGATCCTCAGCACCACATACCAACAAAGATGTTGTGTCTGCCGAGAACTAAAAAATAAATATTAAAAAAATTCTCTCTCTCTCTCTCTTAAAAAAAAAGGAAAAGGAAATATCACAACAGACACTACAGAAATACAGAAGATAATCAGAAATTATTTTGAAAACGTATATTCCAATAAAATAGAAGATATTGAAGGCATCGACAAATTTCTTAAGTCATATGATTTGCCCAGACTGAATCAGGAAGATATACACAATTTAAACAGACCAATATCAAGTGAGGAAATAGAAGATGCCATCAGAAGCCTACCAACCAGGAAAACCCCAGGACCAGATGGATACACAGCCGAGGTCTACAAGTCTACAAGAACTAATACCAATACTCTTCAATTTATTTCAGGAAATAGAAAAGAGGGAACACTTCTAAACTCATTCTATGAGGCCAAAATCATCCTGATTCTAAAACCAGGCAAAGACACATCAAAGAAAGAAAACTTTAGACCAATATTTCTAATGAATATAGATTCAAAAATTCTCAATAAAATTCTGGCAAATTGAATACAAAAACATATCAAAAAGATGGTACACCATGATCATGTGGGATTCATCCCATGGATGCAAGGTTGGTTCAATGTATGGAAATCAATAAATGTAATTCATTGCATCAATAGACTCAAAAATAAGAATCATATGATCGTTTCAATAGATGCAGAAAAAGCTTGACAAAATTCAGCACCGCTTCATGTTCAAAACACTAGAAAAACTAGGGATAACAGGAACATACCTCAACATCATAAAGGCTATCTACGCTAAGCCCCAGGCCAACATCATTCTAAATGGAGAAAAATTGAAGGCATTCCCTCTAAAAACTGGAACAAGACAGGGATGCCCTCTTTCACCACTTCTATTTAACATAGTTCTTGAAACACTGGCCAGAGCAATTAGACAGATGAAAGAAATTAAAGGGATAGGTATAGGAAAAGAAGAACTTAAATCACTACTATTTGCTGACAATGTGATTCTATACCTAGAAGACCCAAAAAGCTCCACCAGAAAACTTCTAGAACTAGTAAATGAATTCAGCAAAGTAGCAGGTTATAAAATAAACACCCATAAATCAAAGGCATTTCTGTATATCAGTGACAAATCCTCTGAGAGGGAAATGAGAAAAACTACTCCATTTACAATAGCCTCAAACAAAATAAAATACTCGGGAATTAACTTAATGAAAGAGGTGAAAGATCTATACAATGAAAACTACAGAACCCTAAAGAATAAAATCAAAGAAGACCTTAGAAGATGAAAAGATCTATCTTGTTCTTGGATAGGCAAAGTTAATATTATCAAAATGAACATACTACCAAAAGCACTATATAGATTTAATGCAATTCTGATCAAAATCCCAATGGCATTCCTCTAGAAACAGAAAAAGCAATCATGAAATTCATCTGTAAAAATAAGATAAATAGAATAGTTGGGGCTGGGGATGTGGCTCAAGCGGTAGCGCGTTCGCCTGGCATGCGTGTGGCCCAGGTTCGATCCTCAGCACCACATACAAACATGTTGTGTCCGCCGAAAACTAAAAAATAAATATTAAAAATTCTCTCTCTCTGTCTCCCTCTCTCTCTCACTCTCTCTTTAAAAAAAACACAAAACAGAATAGTTAAATCCTTAGCAGGAAGAGTGAAGCAGGTGGCATCACTATACCAGACCTTAAACTATACTACAGAGTAATAGTAACAAAAACAGCATGGTATTGGCACCAAAACAGACTGGTAGACCAATGGTACAGAATAGAGGACACAGAGACTAACCCACGAAGTTACAATTATCTTATATTAGACAAAGGTGGCAAAAACATGCACTGGAGAAAAGATAGCCTCTTCAACAAATGGTGCTCAGAAAACTGGAAATCCATATGCAACAAAGTGAAATTAAACCCCTGTCTCTCACCGTGAACAAAACTCAACTCAAA